AAAATGATTCTACACATGGACATCACCAGGTGGTCATTATAGAAATCAGATTGATTACATATTTGCAGCAAAAGGTGGGGATGCTCTGCAGTCAGTTAAAAGAAGACCTGGAGCTGACTGTGGTTCAGATCATGAGCTTCTTATTGCAAAATTCAGACTTAAACTGGAGAAAGTAGGGAAAACCATGAGACCACATAGGAATGACCTAAATAACATCCCTTATGAATATGAAGTGGAGGTGATGACTAGATTTAGGGATTAGATCTGGTATATAGAGTGTCTGAAGTACTATGGACAGAGGTTTGCAATACTATATAGGAGGCAGCAACAAAAAAACATCCCAAAGAAAAAGAAGAGAAAGGAAGCAAAATGGCATCTGATGAGGCTTTAAAATAACTGAGGAAACAAGGAAAGTGAAAGGGAAAGGTATAGCTAACTGAATGCAGAATTCCATTGAATAGCAAGGAGAGAAAAGGTTTTCTTAAATGAGCAATGCAAAGAAATAGAAGAAAGCAAGAGAATGAAAAAGAAAAAAAATCTCTTCAAGAAAATTAGAAACATCAAGGGGAACATTTCATGCAAAAATGGGAATGATAAAAGGCAAAAAATGGTAGGGAGTGAAGAGAAGTAAAAGAGATTAAGAAGAGGTGGCAAGAATATGCAAAAAATTATATGAGAAAGATGTTAACATCACCAATAACAACAATGGTGTGGTTACTGATCCAGAGCCAGACGTTGTGGAGAATGAAGTCAAGTGGGTCTTAAAAAGCATTACTAACAGTAAGGCTAGTGGAGGTGATGGAATTCCAGCTGAGCTATTTCCATCCTAAAAGATGATGCTGTTAAAGTGCTGCACTCAATATGCCAGCAAATTTGGAAAACTCAATGGTGGTCACATGATTGGAAAAGATCAGTTTACGTCTCAATCCCAAAGAAGGGAAATGCCGAGGAATGTTCAAATCACCCAACAATTGTGATCATTTCACATGCCAGCAAGGTTATGCTTAAGATTCTGCAAGCTCAGCTTTAGCAATATGTGAACTGAAAATTACCAGAAGAGTGGGCTAGTTTTTGAAGAGGCAGAGGAACTAGAGACCAAATTGCCTATATTCACTGGCTTATGGAGAAAGCAAGAGAGTTCCAGAAAGAAAAAAAAAGCATCTACTTCTGCTCCATTGACTACACTAAAGTCTTTGATTATGTGGATCAAAACAAAACAGGGCCAGCCCTCAAAGATTTTCTTACTTGTCTTCTGAGGAACCTGTATGGGGGCCAAGAGGAAACAGAATTGAAAATGGAACAACTGATTGGTTTAATATTGGAAAAGGAGGGGGCAGCTAGGTGGTGCAGTGGATAGAGCACTGGCCCTGAACTCAGGAAGACCTGAGTTCAAATAGGGCCTCAGACACATAACACTTACTAGCTGTGTGACCCTGGGCAAGTCACTTAACCCCAATTGCCTCAACTATATATATATATATATATATGTATATATGTATATATGTATATGTATATGTATATATATATATATATATGAAAAGGAGTATAGCAAGGCTGTGTACTGTCACTTTATTTATTTAACTTACATGCAGAATATATTGTGAGAAATGCCAGGCTGGATAAATCAAAAGCCAAAATTAAGGTTGCCAGGAAAAATATCAACAATCTCAGATATTTAAAGGATACCTCTCTGAAGGCAAAAAATGAAGAAGAATTAAGAAGCTTCTTGATGAGGGTGAAAGAGGAGAGTGTCAAAGCTGGCTTGAAGCTTAACGTAAAAAAAGAAAAAATAAAACAAAAAACTAAGATCTTGTCAACTGGTCCCATCACTTCCTGGCAAATAGAGGGAGAAGAAATGGAACCAGTGTCAGATTTTGTATTTTTGGGCTCAAAGATCACTGCAGATAGAGACTGCAGTCATGAAATTAGAAGATGCTTGCTCCTTGGAAAGAAAGCTATGGCAAATCTGGACAGCAGACTAAAAAGCAGAGACATCATCTTGCTGACAAAGGTCCATATAGTCAAAGCTATGGTTTTTCCGGTAGTAATGTATAGATGTGAGAGTTGGATTATAAAGAAAGCTGAGCACTAAAGAGTCAATGCTTTTGAATTGTGATGCTGGAGAAGAGTTTTGACAGTCCCTTGGATGGCAATACTTTTAGAAAATAATTCAGACTATTTACTGGAAGGTCAAATGCTAAAGCTGAAACTTAATACTTTGGTCACATAATGAAAAGATGAGACTCATTGGAAAAGATCCTGATATTGGGCAAGAGTGAAGGTAAAAGGAAAACAGGATGACAGAGGATGAGATGGATGGTGTCATGAAAGCAATGAACATGGGCTTGGACAGACTTTGGGAGATAGTGGAAGACAGAAGAGCCTGGTGTGCTGTGGTCCATGGGGTCACAAAGAGTCAGATAAGACTAAATCATGGAACAACGACAGAGGTACCACTTCACACCTATCAGAAATGACAAATATTGGAGATGATGTGGGGAAACTGGGACATTAATGCACTCTTGGTGGAGTTGTGAACTGATCCAACCATTCTGGAGAGCAATTTGAAACTATGCCCAAAGGGCTATCAAACTGCATGCACCCTTTGACTGGGAAATACCACTACTAGGTCCGTATCCCAAAGAGATCAAAGAAAAGGAAAAAGGGCTTATTTGTTCAAAAACATTTATAGCAGCTCCTTTTTGTGATAGCAAAGAAGGGGAAACTACGGAGACGCCCATCAGTTGGGGAATGGCTGAACAAGTTGTGTTATATGATTGTCATATGTTGTGCTATAAGAAATGACAAGCAGGATGGTTTTAGAAAAACCTGGAAAGACTTACATGAACTGATGCAAAGTGAAGTGTGCAGAACCAGGAGAACATTATACACAGTAACAATTATATTGGACAATGATCAACTGTGAATGACTCAGCTTTTCTCAGCAGTAGAATGATCTAAGATAATTCTGAAGGACTTAAGATGAAAAATGCTATCCACCTCCAGAGAAAGAACTGATGGAGTCTAAATATAGATTAAAGCAAACTTTTTAAAACTTTCTTTATTTTTCATGTGTGTGTGTGGTTTTTTTTTTGGTCTGTGGTTTTTTAATTTTTTTGTAACATAGCTAATATGGAAATATGTTTTGCACTATTATACATTTATAACCTATATCAAATTGCTTGCCTTCTCAATGATGGGTCAGGGGAAGGAGGGGAAGAGGGAATTTGTAGCTCAAAATTTAAAAAAAAAGCGTGTTAAAATATTTTACATGTAATTAGAAAAAACAAAAAAATAAAAATTTACTAATTTTTTAAAAACTAAAAAAAAGAACTGAGCACATGAAATATTGCATGTTTTATCAGAAGTTTTTTTTTTTAAATATACTGGCTTCATGGAACTTTCTCCCTTTCTTTCTTTTCTTTCTTTGCAAAAAGTCATCATTATAAAAGATTGCTCTCTGGGAGTAGGGAGAAGTACAGTGGGAAATATGAAGGATATAAAAACAATAACTATCAATAAAAACTTATTTTTACCAGGAGGTGCTCAAGAGAACACTAATAACTACTTTCTTATCTGAAGAAAATGTTTATGTGAGATCTACAAGTGTATAGAGAATATTCCAGCTGAAAATGTGAGAACAGGCAGTCTTTGCACTTCTTTAAGACAGCAGAACACGTTTTCATGGCCAACAATTAATGTCTTCCGCCAATATGTTAAGCTTGTATTTCTTGATTGATACCACCGCAGAGATGATGACTGTTCAACGTTCTGTGATTATGGCCATCAAGCAGGGAGCCATATGCGCTCCAGGTCTGTTCTCTTCTGCCATCAAGTTTGTCCCACACAGAGCCCGTGAGAAGGGGAGACGGGAGCCCCTCAGCAAGCATCAGATCAGCCCAACAGTCCACACAGGACCGTCGGTGGATGAAGAATGCCTCTTGTCCAGATTCTCACATGTAGCAAATGGACCCCCAGAGCGGTCCCTCAGGACACACATCTGGTACAAATGGTGGATGATGGTGGACGGACAACGAGGGGTGATACAGGCTGGGATTCAGAACTGTTCCTGATGGCACTGATCTCAGCCTGGGGGGAGGTCTTTTGTAAGCCCTGCAGCTCCCCATCCCTGGCCCTGTGCTGTCCAGCTCCCCCCCCCGTTTTCCTTATCTATGGCTTAGGTGTTGAAGATGCAGATGATGGGAAGATGAGTGGGGTACCTGAGAAGCTGGAGGTCAGCTTTGGGAAGCACAAGCATCCCACCAGAGGGGATGAAACCTCATGAAACCCATGAGGTTTGTCCCTGTTCAGTGGCTCAGAGGGACAGAGAGGCTGAGGCCAGCGGGTGCTGGGCGCAGGGCTCAGGCTGCCGAGACCCCTGACACCCTGGAGGAGGTGGGGAGGCCCCCGCAGAAGGCGGGCTCTGAGGAAGCTGGAGGTGGGGGTGAAGCCCACCCAGCCGTGGGGGACGGCGTCACAAGGGCAGGCAGTGGAGACCTGGGGAGCAGCCCAGAGGCCGGGGTAGCGGGATCCCAGAGGGGACAGAGGGGTCAAAAGGCTGGAGAGGGACGAGGGGCCAGGCTAGGGAGGGCTTTGATGCCCAATAGGAGATTTTGTATTTGATCCTCGGGGTGATAGGGAGCCCCTGGAGGTTATTTACTAGGAGTGGGACGCACATACTCAGACCCGAAGCTGGGAGATGAGAGGAGACACATGGGATGTCAAAACCGGGATCCCAAAATGAGCAGCTAGGCGGTACAGTGGGTGGAGCACTGGCCTGGGAATCAGGAAGACCCGAGTTCAAATCTTAACTCAGGGGGCTCTGGGTTCTGTTAACCTCAGTTTCTCATCTGCGCAGTGGGGATAGTAATAGCCCCTGCCACCCCAGGTAGTAAAGGGCTTTGCAAGCCTGAAAACGCCACACAGATGTGTCTATTCTGATGATTCCCGTCACTATTCCTCTAGTGGAGGCCCAGCTCTGCGCTCACCCGACCCCTCACCTGGGGAGGAGTCGTTCAGCCCCATCATCTCGTTAGCCTCCTCGATCTTCTCCAGGCACATGGCTTCTTCCTTCTTCAGGATGCAGTCGGAGATGGCAGCAGCCTGTGAAGGGGCGGGGAGGGAGAGGACAGAGGTCAGACATCACTCAGTCAGTCTGCAAACCCAAGGGGGGGTGGGGCGGAGGCATGGCCTAAGACAAGCCTTCTGGTGGCAGCAGCAGAGATGGAGGGAGGCAGAACAAGGTGGGCAGCAGGCAGGCTGGCGGGGAAGGTGCGGCTTTCGTGGCCATCCTTGCGCTAGGCATTACCATCATTTTCTCAGAGCCGGGGCACACAGGCCCCCATCTTTGCCCTGACCTTGCTGCTGCTTCTGCCCTCCGCCCCAGGATTATGACCTGGCCTAGGGTCCAGCACCCCTAGACCACCCCCTCCTCCCCCCAGCCACGAGGAGCCACGCCGGGGACCCAGCACCCCGCACTCCGTTTTCACACATTGCCAACCTCAGTGCTTGGGAACAGGAATTACCCTGGCGTCACGGTCCAAATCAGGCAGGGGCTGCCAGGCCAGCCTGGGTGAGGGGGCTTTAGGGTGCTGCCTCAGGCCCAGGGACCGCAGCCTCCAAGGCCAAACTCAGGCGCTTCCTCCTACGGGAAGTCTTCCCAGATTACTGAGTGTGAGTGAGCCCTTCTGGCAGCCCTGGGGGCACCGTGCAGACAGCCTCGGGTCCCAAGGATGCCCATATCTGCCTGTCTTTGCCCTGCTGCCTCACCTCAGGCATGAATGAATGGTGCCCACTCTAGGATGGATGGGAGGATGCTTTTGGGAAATCTGCCTTTAAAAGCCACAGAGGCAGCAGATCGGATTCTACTCTCATCTCTGGCATCAATTCACTGTGTGACCTAGGGCAAGTCACTTCATCTGGTCAGACCTTAGTTTGCCCACCTGTAAAATGGCACCCACACCATGGTGTGGGAGAGGACAGAGCTGAGATGCTGCCCATTCACGGATCCTGGCTCTAGGCCAGAAGGGCCTCTGACATCATCCAGGACAGTCCTGCCCAGGGTCACTCACGCAGTAAGGGACTGGCCTCAGCTGGGGGCCCGGGCTGTCCCCCTCCCTTCCCCGCCCTGGTAGCTGGCTCCAGCACAGGGTGGGAAAGTCTCTGGGCTAGCTCGCTTATTCCTCATTGCCGCAGCATCCGCCTGGGCTCTCTCACTGACTGCTCAGCCTCCCTACAAGGCAGCCTACTACCCGAAGGGGGAAACTGCACCCCCAAGGGGGAAGGGATTCTCAAAGAAGGCACCCAAAAGGGTTCCTGGGGACCATGAGACTGTTTCCGTTTCCTCCAGCCTTGATGTGGTCCCCAGACACTGGGTGGCTGGCAGGGTGGCTGGTAGGGTGGACAGGGCCAAATGCCTGGCGGGGAGAGGTGGGCGAGGCTGGTTCTGGGCACCACTCCCACGGCCTGATCTGCCTTCCTAATGAGGCCTATTCAGGACCTCTCAGAGGCTAATCACCTCACCAGGGCTGGGGACTTTCCCAGGGACCAAGAGACGCCAGGCCCTGGGGGGTTCCCTTGGTGGCTGGGAAGCCACACTATCCCCAACTCTCAGCCTTCTTTGGGGACAGAGGCAGCTTCCTGTTGGAGTTCTGTAGTGGAGGAGGGGAGGACAGGGAGATAGTGAGGGGAGAGAGAGATTGAGAGGAGGAGGAGAACAGGGGGGATGGGGGAAATGGTGAAGGGTCCTCTGGTGAATGGGTGGGACCTCAGGGGAAGGAGGGAGCCTGGAGCCTGACCTCCTGCTCCTGTCTGGCTCTGAATCTGTGCTCCATCCAGGGGGTGGGGGGTGTCTGATACAAATCAAATCCGATACAAAGATAAAGTCCAAGGGGGGCAGAACGAGGATGACTCTTGGCCAGTCCAAAGAGGAAGAGGGAGAAGCCACCAGCAGCTGGGGGACCAGGGAGGCTGCCCCTGAAGTGGACACCTGGGCAGATCACGGATGGCAGGGTCTCGGAGCTTGGAAACTGAAGTTGGCTTAAGGGCTGGGGGCTGGGGCTCTGCCACGGAAGGCTGTGGGGGATTGGTGGGCAAGGGAAGCAGATTCCACGTGCCAGTCTACAAGGTTCAGTTTGGAAGGAGGAGGATAGAAGGGAAAATGGGGTGTTGGGATCAGGAACCAGGAAGCCCCAGCTCCCAGCCAAGCTCGCCCGTCCCTCAGATCTTGGGCAGCCCGTGTGCAGAGGTCTGCCCATCATTCTGCCATCTCCAAATCACCCCAACAGGAACTGGCTAAAACTGTCCTGGGACCCTCCCCAGGTGGTTCTAGAAATGATAACAATAACAATTAGACAAGAGCAAGAAATGGAAGATTTAAGTGACCTGCCTTACAGCCTACTTAGAAAACCCCAGAGAAAGGGGCAGCTAGGGGGCGCAGTAGATAGAGCTCTGGTCTTGGAGTCAGGAGGACCTGAGTTCAAATCTAACCTCAGACACATTACACTCACTAGCTGTGTGACCTTTGGCAAGTCACTTAGCCCTGATTGCCTCACCAAAAAGCAAAAAAAACCCCCAAAAAACAAAACAAAGGAACAAAACCAGAGAAGCAGCAGAGACAGTAACTGAGTGCTCACCACAGGCAGCAGCAGGAGGGTGACGATGGTGGCCACCATGATGCCTGCCTCTTGTCTTTCTGCAGCAGGACTCCAGGAGCGAGGAATCCCAGACTGGAGGTGCTGGCAGATCTTACCTCTGCAGAGAAAGGGAAGGACCATTACCCATGGAGAGAGAGAAGACGTCCCTGCTTTGAGAGCAAGCCTCAGCTTTTTTGCCCAACCTTCAAGACCCACATACCCTGAGCCTAGCTCCAACTGCTTTCTCCAGCCACATCTTCCGTGGCCCCAGTCCACACTTTCTGATCTGCCCTGGGGAGGGGGGAAGGCAGGGATTGGGGAGGTTCCTAGCCCTCTCCCTTCCCACCCCTCCCTCCTTCCTCCCTCCTTTGACATTGCTCTCATTCATTCTTTCAGCATAGTTTGGGTGCCCATGATTGGGCCAGGCACCCAGACTTAAGAGACCCCTTTGGAGAGTGACTGAGGGACAGTTTATGGGGGCCTCACAACAATCCAGCTAAGGGGCATAGGGGGCCCTACCCAACCCAATCCAACAAATATTTCCTGCGTATCTCCTAGGTGCCAGGAACTGGAACTACAGAGGCAAAAAAAAAAGAAAGAGAAACAATCCCTGCCCTCAGGGAGCTTCCATGCTATCTGTGAAATCCACAATATTGGTAACAGCTCACAGCTCTACATATTGGATCTTATGATTCACAAAACCCTTTCTTCACATCAATTCCACAATAAATGATGCACCACAATAAACATATAATATGGTTTTTTGTTTTTGTTTTTGGTGAGGCAATCGGGGTTAAGTGACTTGCCCAGGGTCACACAGCTAGTAAGTGTCAAGTGTCTGAGGCCAAATCTGAACTCAGGTCCCCTTGACTCCAAGGCCGGAGCTCTATCCACTGCACCATCTAGCTGCCCCAATAACAACTAATATGTTGTAATATGTAAGTAAAATGGTTGAGTAAATAGAGTCCTGGACTTGGAGTCAGTAAGAACTGAATTCAAATCCTGCCTCAGACATTCACTAGCCATGAGAGCTCACACAAGTCACTTAGCCTCGCCTGCCTCAGTTTCTTCATCTGGAAGATGGGGGTAAGGAAAGCGCCTTACCTCCTAGGGGTGTGATGAAGAACAAGACTCTGGCTGAGTGTAAAGCACTGTGTTAATGCTCATTGTTCTAAGAGTTTCCTTGCCCTGGGTTTATCCACACCCATGAGATCATGCGTCCGGGCTCTTACCTCTATCCCAATTTAGCATGACAAAATATAACATAATGTAAGCAATGAAGCATTATTCTCCTCATTATCAGGTAAGAACCGAGGCCCAGCGAGGCCCGGCGAGGCCCTGCGAGGCCCAGGACTTTCCTGCCCGTGGTCCCCAGGCCAGGAGCAGAACGGACGACTCTTGGCTCAGCACCCTTTCTGTTCTACTGTTTCTGGGCCTAGAAGAGCCCTCTCTCCACTCCCTAACCCCACACCCCGGGGTTTTTCCATCCAGATCAAACCCATTTGTCAAGGCCCAGGGATTAGCCCAATGGCCAGCATACAGCCAACGCAGAATTTATGTCTGCTGCACGAATGAGCGAACGAACAAATGAACGAATGCAGGATGGCGTCGAAGGGGCAGTCAGGGCATCTGGGTCCGACAACAAGGGGACTGCTGGAGCCAGCCAGGAAGCATTCCCAAGAAGCAGGAACGAGGCTGGCCCTCTGTGCTGAGCCTAGACCCCCCTCGGGTCTCTGTGGTCTCTCATCAGCACACCCAAGGCCTGCCGGGGCCTAGAGGGTGAAGGAGGCGGGCAGGAAGGGGGACAGGGGAGGCCCTCTCAGGTGTCATCACCCCACTCCCTCCCTGGCTTCCTGGTCTAGGCAGGGGAAAGTCACGCTTCTCCCCCTGATTCAGCTGAGATGAGACTGTTCACCCAACTGGGTCATCAAGAGGGTTTTTGTAGCAAACAATAGCCTGCACAGAGAGCCGTGGCTCTGGAGTCCAAGGGCCTGGGTTCAAATCTCAACTCCAAGCTCGCTACCTGTGGAGGGTGCCAATCACTTCATGTCAATGAGCCTCAGTTTTGTTATCTATAGAATGGAAGCAGTCCCTCACAGAGTGATTGGGAGGCTCAAACAGGACGACGTATGCAGGCAAAGCCTTATCAGAACATTCTGTCTTGTTACAAGGACAACTTGGAACATCTGAGCCCTGGAAGAGACTTCTGGGTCTGGCAGGCTGCTTGGTGCATGGCTGGCTTAGATGGGTGGAGAGAAGGTGGGATGGGGGGTGGGGGGCCTAAGTGTATGTGGGGGGTGGGCAGGTGAGGAGAACGGCTTGTTCTGGCTGGAGGGGAAGGGCACAGCATACGGGGGAGAGCAGAGGGAGGAGGGGGGTGAGGAGCCAGCTGGAGAGAGGCTCTGTGGCTGAGCTTGAGGGCAGCGCCGAGGAACTGTCCACGTCTGCCTCCCGCTGTCCCTCGGCTGCTAGACAGTGACCAGGAGCCAGAAGGGGGCAGCTTCGGGACAGCCTGCTTTGTCCCAGCAGCCTGGGTGAAGGGGTGTTGTCTTCCTCCTTGGGAAGTCCAGCCTCGGTCAGTGTTGGTCCTCAGGGCCTGGCTGGGAAATGTAATTATGAGGCTGTGGCTGGCTGGGGTTTTATTAAATTATCAGAGAGATAGAGATGGAAAAGGAGATGAAGAAGCACAAAGAGGGAGAGAGAGCAAGCGAGAGGGAGATACACAAAGAGGCAGAGACAGGCAGAGATGCAGAAGGACCCAGAAAGGCAGAGAGACAGCCTTACAGAGGAGAGACAGAGAGGGAAAGACAGAGATGGAGAAAAAGAGAGACAGTCAGACAGAAAGAGGAGAGAGAGACACACACAGAAAGACAGAGTGAGAGATAAAGAAAAGGAAAGATGGAGAGAAAGAGACAAAAGGAGGAGAGACAGAGAGGAGACAAAGAGAAAGAATGAAAGGAAGAGATGAAGCGAGACAGAGAGAGGAAGGAAGAGAGGAGAAAGACACACACATACAGAGAGAGAGAGCAGAATGAGAGATAGAGAGGAGGAAGAAAGAGATGGAGAGAAGGGAATGAGAGAGACAGACACAGAGAGAGAGAGAGAGAGAGAGAGAGAGAGAGAGAGAGAGAGAAAGGAGAGAAAGACACAGATAGACAGTCACAGAGAGAGAGAGAGAGAGAAAGGAAAGACAGTCTCACACACACACACACACAGAGGAGAAAGAAAGACATACACACACACACACACACACACACACACACACACACACAGTGTTGGAGCTGAGGCAAGCCAAGTGGTCTGTCCCAAGGAGACCATGGGGATGCTGTGAGGACAGAAAGTCAAACTCTGAGCCTCTCTCCCTTTCCTTTGGTGAATGAGCAGGGAGCAGGCTGGCAGCCAGCTCCCAGCCATGACTCTCCCCAGGCCCTGGGCTCCCTCACCTCCTGCATCCCCACTTCTCCCACCTTGCTTCACTTGCCTCTGCAGCTCTGACCTCAGCTGTTTCCTCCTCACTGCTTCAATAGCCAATGATGCCAATACTCCCGGAGCTGGAGGTGATTCCACTTTGACTCTGGGCTCTGGGAGAGGCATCGTAGCCTTTCAGACAGAGCTGGCCTGATGGTCGGGAAGTACTGGTCTGCACTGGGATAGGGCGTTTTCTCACCTGGGAATTTCCCTCATCGAAGAAATTACAGGACCAGACACCGCCCCCTCCCAAGAACCCCGAACGCTTCGGAGCCAAAGACCAAAGGAAACAACCACAAAAGCCCCATATGGCCCCCAAAGGAGCTCGCCCTTGGTTCAGCAATTATTTGCATGCGAACACCAGTGCACCAATGTCAAGCCAGTCTTTTCTATTCATCAAAGCAGGCTCTGAGAGGACTTTCCTTGGCCACACTTTGTTATTCCTTAGCCCCAGTTATCGCTCTGAGAGTTGGCTGTTAGTTTTTCTAGAAGTTACAAATCCATCCCCCCTCTACATGCCACGGGGGAAGGGGGTGCTCCGAGTTCCCAGGACCTTCCCTTTGCCCTTCCCAAACTGGTCCCACACCAACAAGCAGTGAAGAAAGTGCCTACGGTGGGCAGGGAGCAGGGCCTGAGGACATAGGGGAACACAAGAGTGCCCTCTGGGAGCGAACAGTCCCAGCCAAGCCATCCCTTACAAGGGCCCCCCAAAATGTGAGGAGGCAGAGAGTGTTTCTGGCGGGGACAGCAGGGCTGGCCTCATGAAGGAATCTGGGCTGGGCTATGAAGGGTGGAAGGCAAGGGTGTCACTGGCCGGAATGTGGAGGCAGAGTGCTCTGGCCATGGGGACGCTCTGTGTGAATGTGCAGAGATGAGAGGGAGCAGGGCCTGGTCAGGGAGCCGCCGGAGCCCGGTCTGGCTGGAACGTCAAGTGGGTGAGAAAAGGCTGGACAAAAACCAAAGCCAATGGGAATCAGGGCCTTGGCGGCCATCTGAAACGTTTTCATTTTGTCTCTTAAGATGGAGAACCAGCAAAGTTTTGTCAGCCGGGGGAGGAATGAATTAGAGACGAAGCCTGTGGCCAAGAAGGTTGGGGAGAGGGCCGTGCTGATAGTCCAATGAGGGGTGGCAAGGACCTGGCCGAAGATGTTGCCCGGGGAGGAGAAGGAACAGAGAGAGGGAGAAGTGGGAGGACCGCCCCCCTCTTAGGGACCGAGGGAGGGGCAGCACTGACTGACACCTCCAAGGCTTCTGGCCCGAGTGGGAGATGACTAGATCTGGGGAAATGAGATAGGTGTGGGATGGGGTGAGTTTGAGATGCCTGGGAGACATCCAGGTGGAGATGCACAGCCTCAGAGTGGACAGGCCAGATGGGAGCTTGGGAGAGCCCCTGCCGAGGGCTGCAGATGGAGCTTCCAGACCCCGGGAGAACTGGTGAGTCCTCAGAAGGGTGGAGAGAGAGAGAGAAAAGGGCTTGTGTGGGAATGCCTTCCCCCGCCCCAGAGCAGGACGGGAGCAGAACCAGGAGCAGTAACCATCAGGGCAGATAGGAAGCAGGGGGACAGCAGGGGGACAGCA